CGTGTTAGTCTGGATCTGTAAAAGCAGCAAAGAGTCCTGTGGCACCTTATAGACTAACAGACATATAGGAGCATGAGCTTTCGTAGGTGAATATCCACTTCTTCGGATCCGAAGAATGGGTATTCACCCACGAAAGCTCATGCTCCTATATGTCTGTTAGTCTATAAGGTGCCACAGGACTCTTTGCTGCTTTTACAGATCCAGACTAACACGGCTACCCCTTTGATACTTGTCTTTTATACATGTCTACATTACAGATTATTTCATCTTTATCCAATAGCCTTTTAGCACATCAATGCTTTGTGTTTTAGGTAACCAACACATTATGGATGTGTAAGCTTCAGTTACTCAACTTTTGGTTTCTGCTTGTTTTTGCAGTTTCTGGGTCATTTCATTTTATATCACCTCTGCCCCCTACCCAGGGTTTTTCCAGAAAAAGGGTTTATTTTTTCATTACATGTTTGCGTATCTCTCACTTACATCTTCCAGCACAACATGTTACCTTTTGTTCTGTCAGCAATGACGTGATTTTAAACAAACCAGCAATTCTATGTAAAAGAACCACACTTATGCCAACCAGGCCTTGGCCCAAGCATTACCTTATCTGTACTCATTCACTACCCATAGTTACAAATCATTAAAATATAGCTAACAATTCATTTTATCTATCAATGTTATAAGTCATTATATGTAGTTCAGTTCTATGCCTAATCTATTAGAAAGTGTGTGCGTAGTGGGGGTGGGAATTGTACAAAACACGATTCTTTAATGGCAATATTTCTTACTTCTTTAAACACAGGTTTTCATTCAAAGTCTAATTTTGTTTGTGAATCACTGGAAGTTTTCCTATGAATGTATTTTGAGGGTGTCTCAACTTTAGGGCCTTGATCTTTAGTTGTTTTTAATGGTACCCCAACAGGGCAATGGAGCAGTAGGTACACAGTGCTTTAAGGTCTGATCCAATGAAGCATTTAAGCATCTGAGCCGTCTCATTGAAGTCAATGGGACTACTAAAGAGCTTAAAGTTAAACACATGCTTAAGTGCTATATTGGATCAGGGCCCAATGCAGAGCTGATAATTTAAAGACATTTTTTAAATCACATGCAAATGTGTGTGTTGGTGTGGGGTCTGTGGCCATGTACACACCAAAATTTCCATTTTATTTTTGGACTTTTAATATGCTAACATTCTGACTACACATGGCTTTTGTCTGGAATTATTAGGAAGTTTTCTTAAATGCAATAGTTGGCCATGAAGTTAACCTTCCAGTAAAGAGTTAATTTCAGAGTGGTATGCTTGGTGCTGTCATTGTGACGTTTCCATTTGGACAAACTGTGACACAGCTGTTGAGCAAATAATAATAATAATACAATAGACAATTATTTACATTTTCAATGCAGCAATCATCTTCTTATTAATACTGTATACTGTTTTGGCAAACACTATTAGGCTGGAGTCTTCAATTGCTGTATACGACTTACTGATACAATTTATACTGGACTTTTTGCTCTGCAAGCGCTCCTTTTTCTTGATCCAGTTTTATCTTTACATTTCTTTTTTTAGGCCAAGCAGCTGGAAGAGAAAGACAGAGAACTAAAGAAGCATGATGCATACTACAAAGAGCAGCTGGCTCGACTGGAAGAGAGGGTGAGTCCATTTTTCTTGTTTAATTAAGAGTTTTGTTAATTTCCGTTACCAACTTCATGGTTTCTGTTTAAGCTTAAATATCAACAGGAAGGATTTCATAAGCCAGAATTAAAATGATGGTATAAATTGTTTTTTGTCTCTTTTGTTTGAAAAGGAAAAGTGAAGACTGAAGATAGAGGTTATTTTGAGAATCATTTTTTGATTCCTTGATGACTAATATTGTCATTAAGATGAGTTTTCATCTCTCACAATATTTACACTAAACTATTTTTATCTTCACAAGAGGTTACTTTTCCAGCAATAAAGGGCACACAGGATGAAGAGCCAGTGCAGGTGAACTGGTTTTATTTCATTGGACATTGCCCAACATTCTCAAGATTATGAGTGAAATGACAATTTTCAAACTTAATTATCTTCCCCTTCCCTTCTTCCTCCCCCCCCCCCGCCCCAAATAAATAAAATAAAAAAATAAAAGCACAATCACATCTTTGGTTAGGCAGAGATCATTGCTGCTAGCCAAACCGCCAAGATATGTAGGGAAAGATTAATCTTTATTGTAATTTGACATGTTCAGAAGGCACTAGCAAATTGTACCTCAAAAGAATTTGAAACTACACTGCAAACAGCTGGAACAATCCAGATAGCTTAATGATCGTGGAAGTGTTATGAAATGTGTTCTTTTAAATGAAGTAAATATTTCAAAAAGATGTATTGCTATTAATATTTGCATCTTACATAATGACATTTTGTAACAAATCACGCTTCTCACCTTTTTGGCATCCTTTGAGGCATGTCCCAACATTTGGGACAACTTTCAACTTGCGTAGCTTTGCCCTTTTCATCCAAGAAGCGACATGAATTAAAGGCCCTCTGGATAATCAGCTGAGCATGAGCTTCTAGTGTGACACTGTGGCCAAAAGGCTAGTGCGATCCTTGGATGATAAACAGGAATATCGAATAAGAGTGGAAGAGGCGGTGTTACCTCTATATTCAGCACAGTGTGACCACCGCTGGAATACTGTGTCCAGTTCTGGTGTCCACAATTCAAGAAACATATTGATAAATTGGAGAGGATTCAGATAAGAGCCATGAGAATGATTAAAGGATTGGAAAACATGCCTTATATAGGGATAGACTCAAGGAATGTTAAGGGATGACTAGATTACAGTCTATAGGTATGTATATAGGGAATAAATATTTGATAATGGGCTCTTCAGTGTAGCAAACACAGGGTATAACAAAATGAATTGCTGAAAGTTGAAGCAGGAGAAATTCAAACTGGAAATAAGATGCAAATTTTTAAACGGTGAGTATAAATAACCATTGAAACTACTTGGGGTTTTGGCATTTTTTGAATCCAGATTGGCTCTTTTTCTAAAAGATACTCTAGGCCAAACAGGAATTATTTTGGGTAAATCCTAGGGCCTGCATTATACAAGAGGTCAGACTCAATTACAGTGATTCCTTCTGGCCTTATAATCTAGGAATAACATGCCAGCCTTAACTTTGGATACCTTGAGATTTCTTGAAGTATTGGGAGCATAAGCTTTCGTGGGTAAGAACCTCACTTCTTCAGATGCATCTGAAGAAGTGAGGTTCTTACCCACGAAAGCTTATGCTCCCAATACTTCTGTTAGTCTCAAAGGTGCCACAGGACCCTCCGTTGCTTTTTACAGATTCAGACTAACACGGCTACCCCTCTGATACTTGAGATTTCTTGGTTTTGATAAGTCTTAATATGGTTAAGATATTACTGTAATTGATATTTATTCACATATACAGCTGTGTCAGACGGGACTAAAAACTTTGTAATGGATTAGAGAGGACAGCATGTTGCACAAATTGTCAGTGTATATAATTGGCCACAGTGAGCGTTTTAGTTAGAGGATAGATGGGATGTAGTGTTTTTATGGGTTGAGCGACTTTTTAGCAAACAAGACAGATGAAGTTCTTATTATTTTGGCAATGAAATATATTTTGAAATGGCCAGATACCAGTTTATTTTAAAATGCCATTAAGATGACACATTAGCTGAACCATCGAGACATGGAGTCTCAGTGCATTCTCAGTTGAGACTCCTCAGCTCTTGAACGCATTCTTTCTGGTGCTCTTCCAAAACTTGAATCTTGTAGTTTGTGGTGCATGCTGCAAGGCTTACTTTTTCGGCCAAGCATTAGTTTGACCTTACAGGGGAATACTATGGAGGCTTTTTTGTCAGTTTGGTTTGGGCTTGTTGATAGGAGGATATCTCTTAAGGCTCTGCGTAATAGTTGCGGGTTTCCAGGAGACATGACAAAGGATACTCAATAAACAGTTAGTCATTTGATATTTTTAGTTACATCATATACATACAGTAAAATGCATTTTATCCTTCAGTGCCTTTCTGTTTATTCAGAGCAGATACAGAGCTAAAGTGGCAGAGGAGACTTGAGAGAAGGGGCCAGAGTAGACTAGCTTAGTGGATTTGAGATCTAGCGTACCTGTGTTGAATGTGTACTGTTGCATGTATAACTGAGATAACAAACCGTACTGATTTTAGTGCCAGCTTTATGTGCAATACTGAACATTTTTAATGGACCACTCCTTCCCATGTGTCTACTGCATCTTCTCTCTGCTGAGGGAATTGGGGTTATTTTGTCTGCAGAAGAGGAGAGTTAGGGGGGATTTGATAGCAGCCTTCAATTACCTGAAGGGAGGTTCCAAAGAGGATGGAGGTAGGATGGTTCTCGGTGGTGGCAGATGACAGAATAAGGAGCAATGGTCTCAAGTTGCAGTGGGGGAGGTCTAGGTTGGATATTTGGAAACACTATTTCACTAGGAGGGTGGTGAAGCACTGGAATGGATTACCTAGGGAGGTGGTGGAATCTCCATCCTTAGAGGTTTTTAAGGCCTGGCTTGACAAAGCCTTGGCTGGGATGATTTAGTTGGGGTTGGTCCTGCTTTGAGCAGGGGATTGGATAAATGACCTCCTGAGGTCTCTTCCAACCCTAATATTCTATGATTCTATCTTGGTTTCTCCTCTTGAAATTGAATTTCTCAGGACGAGAGCAGAACTTTCTCAGTTGAGGGTTCTCAGCCATGGAGTGTGTGCCTCTATCTGTCAGAGTTGGGTGCTTTTCGTGGCATGTTAGAAAGCTAATTTCTTCATTCTGCCTTTTGTATTGATATATTAAAGAACCATTGCTTTGGCTAGGTGATTATTTTGTTTGTTTGTAAATCCAGTCTGAGGCATGCAGGTTCCAATGCAGTGGATGTTCCATAGTCGCTGAAATGAGATGAGTTCTATCCCCAAAGTCTGGTTTATCTTCTGGAAAGTTTTGGGGTGTGCAGAACTGGAAGAAGAAAAACAGGAGCTACATGCAAAGTTCAGGTTAGGATCTGAACTGCATCCAAGTTTTGGAATATTTTTTTACCTGGATGTCTTCCCCCATCTCCGGGTCATTTGTTAGACAAAACAATGCTGATAATTTTTGAGCACCATGATAGAAATAGAACTGAAAGTAACCAAAGAAGGAATGAAGAGGCTGTTGGATTCTCCATGTTGTAGAGAATGGGGGAGGTGGGCTTAAAGGGAGCTATAATGTGCAAATTAATAGAGTAGTGTAGCGTGTAGTTTATTTCTAAACTCTTATTGATTTCAGTGGAAGTCTGCACACAAATAATGGTGTGTGCTGTAGAACAGAGAGAGAAGATAAGAGTTGAAGAAAAAGATTGGAACTTGGAGAAATAAAATGTCAATATGAAGAAATTTGTATTATTAGTCTTGTCATCTGTGGTGAAGCATGCTAATTAAATTTTAAGATCATTCTTACATCAAATAAGCACATTTTAACAATACCTTGGTTACTAATAGGTGGCATTTGTGTCTATTGCATCACTAAGTGTCAGAGCTCATCTGTATGATTAATTGGCTTTTTGATTACTTAGCTTTTTTTCAATTAGAAGCTTCATATTTGTGTTCTTCTGTGCTGCTGAAAAAACAATGCAGACATTGATAATAAAGGGAGATGACAACAGAACAGATTAGTGTCAGCACAATGTGCTCCTTACGGAGAGAAATTATTATACATATTCACTGCCAGATGAAGTCTGTCGCTTATAAAATATTTCAGTGACTGGAGTGAAGATGTGTCAACCTTTTCAGGGGATTAATACAGGACAAAATAACTGTGCACCAGTGACAGCTGTGGTACTAAAACATAAACAATTCTATTCTCAGGGGCAATAGCTGTTCATAAATTTGGTTTATGTCCTAAAAATCCTTTGGTACTTTCCAAAAACCAGTGATTCCCCCAACAGCTGCTAGTGTTTCTAGGTCAAAGATGGCACATAAACTAAGAGTTATTGCATACTCCACAGCAGCTAAGCAAGATGGAATAGTTTAACAAAGGAGTTAAAGAATAACCTTCAGATACAGTATATCTGGTTAGGCTATAAACTCATTATTTAAGAGTTCCCACATTAGACTTTCAGAGAGAAATTCATTCATCAGCTCTAAAGGGGCATATTCTACTTCTTATATACCCAGGAGATTTATGGACATTGCTCCTTGCACACATTATGATCAGAACAGATCACTGAGGATTGGTACATATGTAGTTGTAGGATACAGAGGTAACATTTTTGGGTCACTTTTTTTTTTTATGCTGATGGGAACGGGACCCAATGGTATCTTTATTTGTAGCAATTGGAATAGAAGCTGTAATGCATTTGTAGATGTTCTTCATTGTCTGTTTATGGTTCTTGTAAGTGAAATGAAAAATTAATAGAAGATTAGATTTAAAAAAAAAGGCCCACAGAACAATATCTCATGATAGAACCACTCTGCATTCTGTAGTACCCTAAATGTTCACACATACGATATGTTGACTTTTCCTTAAAATCGCAGAGTATGAATTGATGAGATGAGGTTTTACTACTTTCTGTCTGTGAAGCTGTGCATGCTCCCACGACCTTTTTTTTTTCCCTAACACACACCAAGAATTGTGTCCCCCTCTTGT